CCCTAAAGCCCTAAAACCCAAAACCTCTAGGGTTTTAGTTTTTTTTCTCTCCTTGAAGGCGGCCCCGAGCTGCGTCGACGAGGAGCTCTCCAGGTTGGAGGCCCCTGGCTTCCTCTCGGCCCCCGCGCCCCAGGGCTGTGGGTTTAGGAGTTATAGGGAGTTTAGGATTTATAGGGAGTTTAGGTTTTTTTAGGGAGTTTGGGATTTATAGGAAGTTTAGGATTTATCGGGAGTTTAGGATTTATAGAAAGTTTAGGGTTCGGAGGTTAGGGGAGTTTAGGCTTTAGAGTTTAGGGTTTAGAGGTTTTGGGTTTAGGGCTTAAGGGAGTTTAGGCTTTAGAGTTTAGGGTTCAGGGTTTAGGGCTGAGGGAGTTTAGGGTTTAGGGCTTCGGGTTGAGAGTTTAGGGTGTAGGGTTAGGGCGCAGGGAGTTTAGGGTTTAGGGATCTTCCGTCCGTAGGAGCAACTTTGAATTCTGTTCCTCCAAGAGGCTGACTTGGGCCAAACGACGCAGATGGCGGCAATCAGCTCTTGGAATCTCTTCTCCACAGAGCACCGGGCGCCTCGACATGAGCCATCGACACATACAAATGATTCTATATTGCTGTCCATACATATATACATATATACACATAGTGTGGATTACAAACACGAAATAGGATATACATTTTAAACTGTATGCTGACTATAGACGCTTGTGCTATGTACTCTATATACACACTGTAATGCTATATACTACATTAGCTGGAGGCCTCGACACTTGTGGGAGTGGCAATCAACGTGCTCCAGCAAGTCTCGGGCATCAACGTCTTCATCTACTTTGCGCCTCAGCCTCCCGGTCGCAAGAGTATAGTATGGTATGGTAGTGTATAGTACGGCATAGTATAGCATAGTGTGGTATAGCACAGAAGCGTAGAGCACAGTAGAATAGAGTCGAGTAAGATACAGTACGTTATAGTATAGTCAAGTACGTGATCGAATGTTATCGTACCGTAGAGCCCAGCACAGTACCTTTTTAGTTTGTTAAAAGAAAAGTTGGAGCGGTCCCAAGAGAGGGCGTCTGTCTGCAGCACAGGATCCTGGAAGATGCTGGTTTCGGCCGATACTCCATGGTCTCCACAGTGCCGCTCGGTGCACAGCAGAACAGGGCTTGTATATCAATAGTATGTTAATAGAATATTAATGGCCTATTAGTAGCATGTTACAATCTTATTGTAGTTTTTTTTTGGCATGTTAAAAGTGAGTTAACATTATACTATAGTATATTATAGTACGTGTGAGCTTCTAGTCTATCATGGTATATTATAGTGTATGGTAGTATATTCGAAATGTGAGGTTGGTGAGCTTGATCCAGCTCACTGCTACGGCGGCGTGGGGCCTGAGCTTGGGAATCTGACGTCCTGGATTCAATCCAGGAAGCCATGATTACTGTCAGTGGTACAAATGCTACATCACGATTACTATGCTCCTTACTATTACCGGGGTTATGATAATTGTATATGTCTTCATTCCTGTGAATAGTATCAGCTTTACCAGACAACTAGTAATGCAGATCCAGCAAGACCCTAAACCCTAAACCCTGAACCTAAAACCCTAAAACCCTAAAACCCTAAACCCTAAAGCCCTAATGCCCTAAACCCTAATACCCTGAACCGTAGCAAGGTGCTGATCCAATTCATTGATCGTGTTGGGCGCCGGCCGCTGGCTTTGATCGGCCTCGCCGGGATGATGGCCGGCCTTCTGCCACTTGGATTGGTCATATACATATGGGAGTTTCAGAAAATTAGGGTACCTTATTTTGGGGTCCTGAAAATTGGGATCCCATTATTTGAGGTACTATATTAGGGTCCCCTATTTTCGGAAACCCCCATATATGTATATGTATTCTACATGCGATGTCTCGTATACTAGTTACTAGATAGTATGTAGTATACAGTGTATAGTACATAGTATATAGTATATCGTACATCGAATACAGTATGTCGTATCTAGTATATAGTATGTGGTATATTGTGCATAGCACATAGCAAAAGGCATGATATATATATATATATATATACACACATACACATGCACGCGCACCGTATGTAAAGCATAGCATACAATATATAATGACTTCAGACCAAATACTGCATACTACTGCTGATGGGATAAATCCTGAACTATGGGAATTATGGTATATTCCTGATTATGGGTAATGCAGGGCTTAGACCATCAGCCGTATGTTACAAACGTATATGCTGGACTCGAGCGCCCAGGCTGGTGATCGCAGGCTCCTTGGAGCGCGGTGCAGGGCTGCAGGTGAGTTTCACAGCCCGGGCCCAAAATCGCTTTGAGCACCGAGGCGGAAGCAGTATCATAGTATATTATATCATATCTTAGTATATCTTGGTATATTACAGTACATTACAGTATATTATTGTAGTATATTCTAGTATATTATAGTCTGTTTCAGTATATCATAGTATGATACGGATTCGGGGGACTGAGGCCTGGTTTTCGCTGCTGGGAATGCTGCTGTTTCGGGCTGCCTTCTCGCTGTCCCTGGGCCCGTGCTCACCTTGGAGCGTCAAATTGCAGAGTTGCATCCTATGGTGCCGGGAAAGGTAGCATGGAGTACATGGTATGTAGTACATAGTATATAAACTACATATAATACATAGTATGTATATAGTATATAATAGTCTGCGTACGACTGTTGCTGAGATGGTGCGGAAGGGAGAACAGAAGGAGGGAGGGTGGGTCTTGGAACGGCTTTGGGTCTGGATGGGGGGGGGGGGGGGGGGGNNGCCTTTGGAGGGCTGTCGGAGTGGCTGGCAGCTCATGGGAGTAGCCGAAACTAGGATCGAGGATAGCCCCCGCAAGTTTCGTGCAGCGCCAAGGCTGCCCTATGTCATGACCTCCGAGTTCTTTAAGCAAGAGGCAAGGGCAGCAGGACCCCAGGGTGCGAACCACGGAACCCATGGCTACCCTGTTCTTCCTTGCAGATCACAGCGAGGAGTTGGCCTTTGCTGGGCCATGAATTGGCTTGCCAACTTTGCGGTCTCTCTGAGCTTCCCAGTGCTAGCAGAGGCAGGGCTACTCCGAGACTTAGATCTACTCGTAGCACGAGAGACTGTGAGAGTCAGCCGACCGGTGAAGCTGATAAAAATCAACGCGACAGCCTTACCCTAAACCCTAAACC